TAGTTTGGTTAAGGAACAGCTCATAGCAGGGTAAAATATTTAAGGTGCATTGCACTTATTTTGTGACAACATCGGTTATAAAACCCGATACCGATAATTCACGATATTACATTTTTTAGTGAATATAGGCCGATAATATCGGAGGGCCGGTATTATCGGACATCTCTAATACTATTGTATTGTAAAGTAATGTAACCTGATTACTTTCCATTACTTTTGGATTACCTCAGTGCCAATTTTTAGACCATGTGTCCTCTGCTGAGCATATTTTTAAAGAAAAACTGAGGTATTTTAAAGTTGTAATCCTGCTAAATAATCCCCACTTTTACTAAATGTAACTATAATCTAATTACGTCTTTTTTTTCCTTTTTTTAATGTCCTGATTATGTACTCTGTTACATGTAATCTGTAATCCCCAAGCCTGCAAACTTGTCGATTATATATTGATTATAGCCAATTTAATGTCTGCCACTAAGCCACTGAAGCAGTCTGGTAGTTGTAGTCAAGGATATTTGAAGCAGCTGTTGCTAATTTGTAATTCTATTGTAGTGTAACAGCTTGAACTGATAATTACATAATATGAATATAACTATTTTTTCCCCCATTCTTAATGTAAAACATGCAAACAATTTAATTTAATTTTACCCTGGAAACAAATGCTGTTTGGAGGAGAGAAGAATCATCACTGGCTGTCTGTGGTCATCAGCAGAAAGATAATTGGGCCAAACTGACAGTCTGGCAGGTGCCATCATTCTACATTAAGTAGAGAGGAAGGACATAGACAGGTACTTTCCAGGGAAACAGAGCCAAATATAGCTCCCATTTCCAGTAAGGAAAATGCACAACACAACAAGGTCCGGCGTCACGTGCAGACCTTAATAGAGACAAACACACACAAAGAGCCTTGTAGAGAGAGTCTTGTGAGCTGCACTGTTCAGACCAATATACCAATATATCCTTCAAAATGGGCTGCTTTGTGGTTTAAGATTTTTTTATTATCAATTATTCAGCAGATTATTTTCTCAAATAATTGATGAATAATTTATTCATCTGTAAAATCTTAGAAACTACAGTTGAACTGAATCAATTAACTGACAACTGACAGAAAAATAAATCTGCTACAATTTTAATAATCAATTAATAATTTAAGTCATATTGCAGCATCTCCAGTGTGAGAGTTTGTTGGTTCTCTCTTTTTTATAGAATTGTAAACTGAACATTTCTTATTTTTGGACTGTAAGTTCCAGCCCATCATCTTGGGCTTGAGCAAGCAGTAATATGGAAGTTTCTTATTCTGTATGCTAATTGATGCTGAAATAATCAATTTGTTCATCATCAAACAAATTATCAACAGATTTGATTCTTTGTATTGATTCCTTTTCAAAAGTTTTCTCTCTTCTGATATCCTTATAAATACAAAATATTTGGGTTTCGGACTGTTTTGGTCAGAGAAAACAAGCTTTGGCTCTTGGAAACTGTGGTGAGCATTTTTTTTTTTTAACAATTTTCTACCATAGTCTAAAGAATTAATAAATTAATCAGAATCAAAACTTACTTAATCATAGAACACCCACACAATCAACCACTAAGATATAAACCGGGCCACCACATCTCTATTTGTTACTAAAACCACAGGCCTTGTGTCAGTGCTAAGGAACCAACAGGATGCAGCTGTAACACTCAACTGAACACGCGTGGCTGCTGTACCCCGTGTGAACCTCTGCTACAATGAGCCACAAATAGCTTATAATTACAGTGGGAGGCTATGAGTAAGAAAGTACAAAGTTCTAAACGTGCACCTACAGGATGAGACAAAAGCTTGACTCTATATGGCCTTAGCCTGAACTTATGGAACTGTAAGAAACAAAAAAGTATTTGTGAGAAAGTGAAACATCACAGTATCTCGAAAAAGACATCATAGAAGACAGCTACACAGCAATCAGTGGCTAAGTCAGAGCACTTTACTTCTGAGTTAGGCAACAGGGACCAGCCCCAGACAGGATCCATGCCTGGCTGCAATGTTACCCAAGTGATTAACTAGACTGAGGCAGACAGTGAAGGGAATTTTACAGCACTGGAGAACAACTCTCTCCTGACAGCCAGCTCTCTCACTGGCACATAAGATCTAGAGGGAAAGGATAAATCTCAGGAGGGGAACTGAATACATGATGGAGGCAAGAAAGGAGTGGAGGAGAAATAGGAGACGGGGGAAGACGGGGTGATAACACTGAGGGTAACACATTTATCGTCACAATAAAAAAAAAGAAGCAACAGTTGTAGTGACTCATTAATCTGACAGATGAGGGGAAAATGCAGGCCCATAAATCACTCCTGTGGCCTGGTAAACAAGTAATGCTTTCACTCAATCTTGTTTCTTCACTGGTCACAGCGCTGATTTCCAAGCCAGAATAACAGAAATATGAGTCCCACAGACTGTCAACATTTTTTGATAGTTTGAGAGCACAAATGGTTCATGTTTACAGTTGAATTGATAATTTGTATGAATTACCAGTTCATCTAATCCATGCCTTCCATGCACTGTATAAAATCAGACGTGCAGCCACCAAGGAAGCTATCTACTGAAACAAAAATAAACCTGAAATGCTAATTCAAAAGGGCAGATGAACACCATTTGCAATACCTTAGTCAGACACTGTCACTTCACTTACACTGGCTGATAATAGATCAGCACTCCTTAAACTGATGAAAAGAGCCATTAAGCTAACATTTAGTAACACTGGGGTGATTTGCATAAATATATCAAATAAATGATGCAGTCAAGGAGTTTAAAGGCAAGGAACAGAGAAGACGAGATAGAGAGGTTAAGATATAGCTGCAGGCAAATCTCTATTAGAGAAGCCGACAGTTGCATTAAGTTGTAAAGCAATCCCTGGGGTTCAGAGCGAGGTTAAGAGAACAGGACACATTGAGGACGTCTGGAAGGCAATGTAATTGAACAAGAGAACCAAGAGTGGGTAGAGACAGGGTGGAGGGATGGGAGAGAAGATGGCGTCAGTCTGTGATACAGTCACATAATACCAACACCACAGAGGGCACTTATAAGAGACTCAAACTCTTGCCAGGCCATCTGTGCTGGGTACAAAACATGATGCTAAAACCCAGTGTTGACCTTGACTAATGCAAATGCTCCCTTGCTACTGTTTTGAACCACCTGGTGGGTGAATTGCTGATATGCTGGCATAAGTAGACATATCCTCTAGGGATGGCAAAGACGCATTACAGGACATAAACTTAAGCACCTGAAAAAGTTTGCGTGCTCATCAACTGCTGCTGACCTTGGAGTTAAATTATTCAAGTTATTTTTTGGGCCTTTTTATTGCCTTTATTTGATAGGGACAGTTGAAGATAGACAGGAAAGGGGGGAGATAGAGTGGAGATGACACGCAGCAAAGGGCCGCAGGTCGGATTCGAACCCTGGGCAAGGACTCAGCCTCAGTACATGGGTCGCCAGCTCTACCGACTGAGCTAACTGGGTGCCAAAATGTACTATATTTCTACTGTACTTTTATTCCATATTTTCAGAGCACCTACCTTTGAGCTGGTCAGCCACCACACTCTGTCCTATTCTCTCAATGACTTGTCCGCTTTCATGCTGGTAGCGGTCATCCAGGAAGTTGGCAGTGGCCTGTGATAGGTGGACCTTCCCAGCCACGCCCAGCTGCTCCATTAGGTTGGCCAGGTTGACATCATTTGACCAAACATCAAACTTGAAGCGTTTCATGCCCAGGATACCGCACAGTACAGTCCCAGTGTGGACACCCACCCTCATGTTGACCATCTCCCTCTTTTCCTGGCAGAACTGTTCAATAGCTTGAATCATGCCCAGGCCCATCTCCACACAGCAATAGGCATGGTCTGGTCTGGGTTCAGGACAGCCAGCCACACAGTAGTAACAGTCCCCCAGAGTGCTGATCTTTTCACAGCCGGTGAGCTCACAAAGTCGATCAAAACGCCCAAATAAATCATTTAAAAGCCCAACGAGGGCATGAGCAGATTTGTTGGCAGACATTTTTGTGAAGCCTACGATGTCTGCAAAGAGGATGCTGACGGGCTCCATCCGTTTCATGTTGAAGGGTCTGAAGATGATCTGGCCTCGAGGGATGGAGGTTTTCTTGCGTTTATTGTTTTTAGGGCTGGAGATGACGGCTGCTGCACCACTTGTGGAGTATCGTTTAACAGAATTATCACCTATCTCCTCATCACCCTGCTTCATGAGTTCATCAGCTACGATTCTGGGCATGACAGAGTGGATCATTCGCTCCTTCAGGGCTTTCTCCACCTCCAGATCTTTGCCATGCATGATAGCTTGTCCCACCTTAAGGAAGGTGCTGCGTGAGCGCACCTCAGACATGATGAATAGGTGGATGCCTATGGCGTGGGCACAGAGATGGAGCAGAGCTTTGGCTGGGCCCAGCCAACTTAAAGTATCCCAGTCTGATTGAGAGGCTAAAGTCCAGTTATCTCCTTCCTGTGTCAGGTGCAGCCAGCCCAAACTCTCAAAAAAGACAGAGTAGAGAAACCCGAGCACGACAGAAGCATAGAGGCGAACGTGGAGAACGCTGTACAGCAACAGAAGAACCTCGATGCAGAGAGAGAAGGTGCCTACAGGAGAAAGACAGGGGGACCAGGTGCTACCTCCCACAAGCTTGTCGTAGGACAGGTTGTATGTGGGTCCCATGCCACTGAACTCTTCCACATCGAGTGCAGGTGTGGGAGTCTCTGGGTCCCTGAAGCTTGATGTCTGGATCTGGGGGGCAAGGGTCAGGATGAAGGTTACAAGCATGAGCAGCAGAGATGCTTGGTTGTAGCATCGAGAGTAAAGCTTAGTAAAAGTTAAGAGGAAGAGAAGGAGGCAGAAAACAAGGAAGGACGCAGTGGGAAGGAGAAAGGCAGTCCTGTCACAGCGGGAAGGGTTGGCAGCAAAGTACAATCCCCAAAGGAGGCCCACAGCAATCAGGTAAAAAAGCACATAGCGGAATCGTCGCTGGGTCTGAGGGAAACACCGTTCTCTACAGGCCTCTTCGAGGATCGAAGAGTCAAACTTTGGGTCCCAGAAATGACCAGCAGATCTCTCAAAAAGCTGAGGCATCTTCTTTTGTGTGCGAAAGCTCTTGACCACCGGCCTCCTGGCTCCGGACTCTCCAGAGCTGCAGCTGGAGGAAATGCTGTACTTGCAGTGCTTGGATCCCCCAATGAAGCCTCCCCCGATTGAACCCAGTGGCCCGCCTCCGTACTTGTGTTTGACACTACTGCCAATCTTCACTGAGACGCCTCCATCTCCACTTGAGTCACAGCTCACTTCTGTGTTGTGAGGCAGCAGTTGTTGATGTTGGGGGGACGCCATGTTACTTTGCAATCTATCCAAAATCAAAGACTATGCAGAACGGAGAGTTATTTTAAAGACAATGAAGATATAGGAGTAAGGCAAAGTATGCTCCAACTGTATTACAATAGGGCAATGATTGTTAGCTCCTAAAGATGGAAAAAGGAGAGCACAAACAAAAACGTTTTCAGATAGACTTCCACTCAGTTAGCAGTGTAGTGGCTGTAGAAACAGCAGCAGACCTTCCAAAGATTTTGAATAGTTCATTATTGCCCCTCTTGACGTCAATCCCTGCATTCCTCTACATTCCCGTCTGTTTTGACGCACTTGAAACTGCAAGGTTCACTCGCTGCCTGCTCTGCTCCAGTCCAGGTCCACTCTGCTGCTTAGACACTGTTTCACTCATTGGAAAAACATTTGGGAAATTACGAGAATTACAAATTAGGCGTGCGTAAAGGAAAAAGGTTTAAAAAAGAAAACAATATTTTTAATGGGTTCTTGAGAAGTTGAGATCACCGTAAGTATGAGTAAGTGTGGAATATCAATTGCAGTTAAAATGTGATATTGCGTGGTTTCTAAAAGAGCCTGCTGCAGTCACTATACTTTAATTTCTGGTGCATGTCCATTCCCGCTTACCCAATTACAGTTTTCCGTTCGACTCTGTTCCACGGGGAATATTGAGTTATGCCTCCACCACGTTTTGTTTACAGGTCTGAGCAAAACTTTATCCAAACCACATCCTCCTCAGCGTTTTTGCTATGACTCGCAGTCTGCTGTTTGCCGTCTTGATCGGAAATGCCAGCATTTAATTTTAAGGCGCAGATCAACTCCAGATAACGGGGGGCGTGAGCGCAAAAACTGCCATCGGACCTTTCATTCATACCCACATGATCGTTGCTGCAGGGCCTAATCGTGACTATTTCCGTGGACAGAGCCCCGTCCTTTCCTGACTTTCAACTCCGGAGTCTCCACGTCTCCAAAACCCAGAGGGGGTCGTGTGCACGGAGGTCTGCAGGAGACAAATGCATGAGACACGAGGGTTGTATTGCAAGAGCAACTGTCAGTGACTCGTGTGTAAACACGCTCCTCCAAGCCTATGCACCATCCAGTCTTACGCTCTGTGTTGATCGGTATTGCTTTGGTATCCACAGTCACACCAAATGTCGCCAGATCATTGATACGGCGCCCTAAGACAGTATCCGGATCGCCCAGATATCCTGACCATGCCAGTTCCCGGCTGTCTATTCTGTGTCAACGGGACAGCTGAGAAAAAGAAAATGCAGCCCTGAGCAGACAACATGAAGTGTCTTCCAGTCCTTCCTTTTCTCTTCAGTAAAGTTTGCGCACGGCAGCTCAGTACCCCCCCTCTAAATGGCAGACGACGAAAGCCCGGAGAGAGTCGGGCTAATTAAAAGGTCTCCACCTCCCCTCCACGCCCCCCCAACCACACACACCAACAGTCCCACAGGTCAAAGCAGAGTGCTGCCTTGCTCCAGCCACGTTTAATTGAATTGCACGGGATACACAAAAGAATATCTTCACACCGCCAAATGATTCCCTTTTAATCCAAGACAAACAGGATGGATTAAGGCAGCTTCATCGTCCAGTCTTTCCATTCCCTGCATCGTCCACATAGAGATGAGATTGTCTTATCTCCGTTATCTGACCATTATCTGTGCGCAACAGCAGCGACGATACCTGCACGCAGTGTTGTTTGCGCTATCCAGGCGCGGCGGGCAAACACAGTGGCCGCAGCCGCCACCATCTTCTGTGAGCTGACAGCCGTCCAGCCGCGAGAAGTGTGTGTGTGTGTGTGTGTGTGTGTGTATGCGTGTGTGTATGTATTTATGTGTGTGTGAAGTACACCAGAAACAAATAAAGATGATTTCCGCAATTTCTTTCAAAATAAAACTCCATAACGTCCATAACGCACCGTTAAATGGAAAGTGTACAATCTATGCATTGTTATTTTAAATTAGAGCAGGTGCTGGAATCTACAGTCTACATTGCATGCCAATCTCATGCAAACTGCATGCAAAATTCTGTAAAGCCTCAGCTAAACTGAAGTTTTTTGTTTTGATGATTACACAGATAAGCTCAGCATCCAAGTTAAACTATGGAAAACCCTGCAACACTTGTTTTGAAGTAATTTAAATATAAATGAAATATGTTTTCTTTCCAGCTGAAAGAAGAATATTCCACCTGCTGAGCTGTGGCAAATGGTGGTTAACATTATTGTAAAAGAAAAAACAATCCCAATTTGGGAAGCCACATTAAATCAAACCCCAGCTGGTGCTACACACATACATACATTTGTATTTTACTTGTGCGTCTGAAGGCTCCGAAATTTGAGCCTCACCCCCCAAAAATATAAAGGTCGTTTATTCTGAAGATATCCATGTGATTCCGCTTTGGTGCTTAGCGTTGGCTTGACGCTGCCGTCTGTGTTTGGCGAGCACAGGGAAGGAAAAGAAGGGCTGAATAGTGATGGGAGGGGAGGGGTGTCGAGGTACGTGCACGCACTTGGTTAAAGGTACGCACGTGTTTGGGGAAGGGTGGGGACGTCTTTTTTTACCGCAATGAGCTGGCTGAAAGATGAAGCCCCTCCACCTTTCTGTCTTATCCACCCCTCTGCCCTTTACCTTCAGAAAAAAAAACTCATTTTCCCCCCTTATCTTTTTTATATGGATGCAAACAAAAAGAGTTGGACATTGGAGGGAAGGGGAGTAGATTATATTTAAGTGAAACCACAGTATCCTAAAATACAAGGTCACTAAACGTCTCCAAACACCCACTGTAAATGTAATAGAAATATCAGATTATATTAAGGTTGCTATGAAGGATGGAAATATTCAAGACAGCACATAAAGACAGATTAAATTCTGTATTGCACACAGCAAAATTTCAGCACCACCAAGATTATAAAAAAAAGTGCTCAGGCAGCACAGTAACCTTATTTTCTATTCTCTATTCAATAGCTTGAGGGAAATATTAAGCAGCAGCCCTCCGTAGACAGTAAAGTAGTTTCACTGTATATTGTGAGGATCCCCCTCCTGCGATCTAACTACATGCAGGGGGACAACAAAAGCATGTAGTTCTGTGTGTGACTTACAATCTTCAGGCTTGGGGTTAGCTCTCATTAGAACTAGTTAGCAAAGAGAAGTGGCAAGTTTCAAAGCACCAGAGTGCAAAAGTCTGAAAAAAGTCTAAAAATACAGATCATTTACACTCAACAAGACAAAACAATGTATTAAACGTGTGTGTTTTTGCAGGCCTACTTATTAAATTATGATCTGTGTATTTGTTGATACAAGCATATGTCTGTTTTGCATGTACCTAAAACTCAGAAATGTCTTGTTGCAAATATAGGATCTTTACAATAAAAAAGTTTAGTTCATGAGGTTCACCAAGCCCCCAAATCGCTGTTGGTTTTGTGTTTGAGTACTTGTGAACTTGTGAATCCTGTTTTTCCATTTGCAAGTTACGCTTTTCAAAATCTATGCAAAATAATGTTTGAGGAAGTGTGGAAATACACTCACAGAGAAACATTTTTATTTTTAACATGTTTATAGGGGAGTGTTGGTGCATAACCTAGAGTCGATTTTCCTACATTCACACCCAAATATATACACACTCCATTAACCACACACACCCCTCCCCACTTCCAGTCACGACAAACTGTTGGTGCATTGCAGCTACAGGATAAAACCATCCTGTTAAACCCAAAAGTGAGAGATTGAACCATCACAGTGTCCAGACTCTTGACCAGAGGGTGTAATAGAGGGAAAAGAAACAGGGACATGAATGTTGGCAGAGTTGTGCTAGAGAGTTGTATAAGCAAGATGGAGAGAGAGACAGAAAAAAGGAAAACTTGGAAGCCTGGAAGTTGGAATCTTTCTGGTTTCTTGTTTGAGTCTCCCTGATTAAAGTTTGATATTTTTATCGAAATAACCACAAAGTTTCACTACCCAGTCAATCAGAAATCTTTATTCTTGATGATCAAGCTTTCAAAATTGGGCCAAGATTAATTTTAATTGTAAACCAAAACAAAAAAAGTGAATCAAAAACTACTTTAATGGGACACACATCCATTCCAGATCTAATTCACAGGTAAATTAAGATAACTGATACCGAAATATACCAAAAGCACAACCACACAACGCCATTAGCCCAAGCTACAACCCCCCACTATAAACTATTGCCATGATGAGAGTTAGTTAGTGGTCTGTAAAACTTTTTACACTTTTACACAGCACTCTCTAGTGGGCATGTTCTGGATCTGCAGCGTAAACATACTAAACACATCCAGTGGAGTACTCACACTCAAAGAAAAAACTGAATATTAAGCAAATGTGAGATTAATTTCGTTAGCTCCCTTTTCTTCTTCATTATGCTTCAGATTTTAGTTACTGTTACTGATACTGTTCACTGCGGTGTTAGTGAGGGAGGACAGTGCATTTGTCCAAGAGTTAAACTGGTGCTTTTTTGGAGCTGTAGTTATTACTACTTACCTTCTTTGATAAATTAGGACTCTGCATTTAAAGCAATAGTTTGACATTTTGGTAGATTGATACCACTTTCATGTCTGCATGGAACTGTAAATATGTAGGTGGAGTCAGCAGCTGGTTAGCTTAGCTTTGCTAATACTTCTAAAACTCCCTAATTAGCGTATTATATCTTGTTTACTTAATCTGTACAAAAACTGCAATGTAAAAGCGTCACATAGCTTAGGAGGGGTTATGAGTCTTCCTGGAGTCCAGGGGGTGACCGCGCCCTTCCAAGAATTTGTCTGGCGTCAAATAAGTGTCTTTCCCAAAATGTCGAACTATTTTAAGCAATTTTACCACGCTATACTCCTGGGAAGTTCATTGAGGTAGGCTTGCATAAGAACTCGCAGCTATGACACGTATCACTGCAAAACCATTGTGGGTGTAAAGGTTAGTATTCGGGGCTTCCTTTTTCTCACAGAGGTCAGGGGTCAACTCATGAGTCCTCCACTTCACCTTTACCTCCAGCCCACAAAGGAAATCCACTATCATACAGTAATCTTGCAGTGATGGTTTGTAAAATAGTGTAGCAGGATGGTTCAGTACACATACGCAGCCTACTTCAATGCCCATTTGGAAAGTTTACACAGAAAAATCAATAAATAGCTTTCTAACCTGCAGAAGAAATGGCAGAAGAAATAGCTAAAGGCAACTATAATTCAAACACATCCTTCATGTGTTATTTTTTGTGGTCATTCAGCTTAAAAAAGCTGGTAAGCTTATCTTTCAAGGAAAAAAAATCATAACACATATTGAATTTATGACAAAGACTGGCAAATTTATAGACGCAAACAGAAACAGTAATATCAGTTAAGAAGTGAAGCAGAATGAACATACCCACCCTGCTCTGAAGACTCTGACCCTTGAACCCTGACCTCTGCTTCCAATACAGTGCTCATTTCACAGGTTGTCAACAACCAGGACTGATGAGCGTATAAAACTAAGAAAAAAAAAGGCCTCATTCGTTGCATGGCAGGGTTTGTTCAGGTTTCAGTTACATGAAGAAATGTTACTTAAACTTTATGTTAGAAGGACATTCATGCATCTGTTAAATAAGATGTGACGTCTAACATGCAATGTTAATGTTAATCTATGTCAAAATCAGGGTTTGGATGACTACCCAAACACAATGGTTTTGTGTAGCACCCACAAAAAGGCTACTTCAAAAACAGCTTCTGAAGCTTATGGAATTGACTTTCTGCAATGCAATTCTAAAAATTTTACAACACAAATTTGCAACTCCTGTTTCCACCTTTCCCATTTTATTCACATACAAGGGAGCTGGTATTTGACTGTTTTCAGTCTCAGGATTTTAAATTTTTATTTGATCTTGCTTTTTTTTTTATTTCTGTGTTTCTTCACATCATTTCTTCCCCAACCCCCAAATCCCAGACAGTCCACTGTGCAAGGGAGAGAGGAGGGCGTGTATTTTAACAAAACTTAGTGATCAGTGGCATGTTCTTATTTCTTCAGCACTTGTGTCCTTAAGCTGCCTTATCAAACAATGACGCTTCCCTCCCTCTATCTACCTCATTCCCACAGTACCTAAATGCACCTCCCCATATTCTCCTGAGGAAAAAAACACAAACACTAATCTCATCTCCTCCGTCTCCTCAACAATACAGGCGTTCTGACAAAAGCAGGGTTGGCTTCCACCAGACCCCTTCTCTTCTTACTTCCCCCACTCAAGTTATTTTATTTTCCTCCGTTCTTCCGATAGCGATTCTTTGGCTTCTCACCACAGCCAGTAGCCTCGCAGGAGGACAGGCCAGGCTGCTTGCCAGAGTTAATGCTGCTCAGAAGGGCAGGCAGCTCATTGGTGATTGCCCTCTCAATCTTTTCCAGCAGGCAGCCTCCCATGTAGGAGCACTGAGCAGTCAGAGGCTTGAAGTTGGTGACCGGGTTGATGCCAAAGAAGTCACGGTAAGCATCGCGGTTGGGCAGGTCAAACTTGCTGACATTGGTCTTGGCTAGGATGGATTTGAAAATGTAGAACTTGTCTGGGTCATCCACAATCTCCTTGAAGACCAGTTCAGGGTCACTGAAGAAGCTCATCTTCTCTTTAAAGGTCTGGACGTAGCGGTCTACCAGCAGGCCATGGATGCGCACGCGGATGCCATGCTGGCGGATGAAGGCAATTTTGTTTTCCATGCGGTTTTCAATAACCTGGTTCAGATCTTCCAGGAGGGAGATTTCCTCTCGCTTGAAGAGCTCACGGCTGGTGTCAGGTGCATAGTCGTATGGCCAGAAGGAGCTG